AGAGTTCTCGGGGAGGGATGAATTCTGGCCTGCCTGGGCTCATGGATGGCTGCGGCGGGGGGGCGGGGAGACCCTAGAGGGTCAGGTGCTTGGAGAAGGCAGCTTCTCAAGGAGGCAGAGTTTGGGGAGACAAAGCTGTCACCCCTTATTCTCTTAGTCACTTGTTTAGCAAGCATTTCGTAGGCGCTGAGCCAGCAAGGGAGGTGTGTGACAACCAGGTCTGGTGCTACTGAGGGAGGCAGTCTAGAAATTAGCATCTGCTTGGGCCTCTGACGACTGCTTAGCCAAACGACTGTCCCTGCTGATCAGAGTAGGAGGGCCGAGGGCTGGCCGTGTGGCACAGCGGGGGTAAGCTGCCGCCTGCATGTGGCGCCCGCGTCCCACGTCGGCACCGGTTACAGTTCGGCTGGTTGACTTCCGATCCAGCTCCCTGGGAAAGCAGCAGAGGATGGCCCAAGTGCTGGGGCCCCCACCACTCATGTGGGGGAGCCACAGGCAGTTCCAGGCTCCTGGCTTCAGCCTGGCCCAGCCCCAGCTGTGGTGAGGATTTGGGGAGTGAACCAGCGGCGGAAGACCTCTGTCTCTGCCTCCCCTTCTCTCTTGGTCATTCTGCCTTCCGAGTAAATCTAAGAAGAAAGAAGGCTGAGGAACCCCAGTTCCTGTGCCTGCAGGGCAGGAAGACCCCGAGGTGAGGGTCCTCCAGGCTCAGCTGTGTGCCAGGAGAAGCCCTGTCAGAGAGGGGGCGCGTGCAGAGAGAAGAGATACTCCATCCGGGTCCCCCCCCCCCCCCCGGGTGGCAGGGACCCAGGAACTGCAGCCGTCATCCGCCACCTGCACACATTAGCAGGGAGCTGGATTGGAAACGGAGCAGCTAGGACTTGAAGCAGGGCTCCGAGTGGATGCGGGCATCACGAGCACAATTTTTTTTTTTTTTTTTTTGACAGGCAGAGTGGACAGTGAGAGAGAGAGACAGAGAGAAAGGTCTTCCTTTGCCGTTGGTTCACCCTCCAATGGCCGCCACGGCCGGCATGCTGCGGCTGGCGCACTGCGCTGATCTGAAGCCAGGAGCCAGGTGCTTCCTCCTGGTCTCCCATGCGGGTGCAGGGCCCAAGGACTTGGGCCATCCTCCACTGCACTCCCTGGCCACAGCAGAGAGCTGGCCTGGAAGAGGGGCAACCGGGACAGAATCCGGCGCCCCGACCGGGACTAGAACCCGGTGTGCCAGCGCCACAGGCGGAGGATTAGCCTAGTGAGCCGCGGCGCCGGCCAATGAACACAAAATTAACCCAGTGCGGCACTGGTGGCCACCCCCGCCCCTGCCCCTGCCCCTGCTCAGCAGAAGGAGGGAGAAGCGAGGTGGAGGCCTGTGGGAGGGGTCTGAGCGAGACCTTCACCCACGACCTGCAGTCCCAGTCAGGACCCTCTTGTTGAATGTGACCCCTGCCTGGGAACCGTGGCCCAGCCTGCACTGCGTGGGGCTGGGGATCCAGGGATGAGGACTTGCGTTCCTTCCCCCAACCCCGAGCAGCTCTCCTGCGTGCAGGCCGTTGGTGCAAAGGTAGTGCTGCCCACTGTTGTGTCGTGCATGGTATATGTGTGGCAGGATGAGAGCGAAGCCATAGAACAATGCGATTAAAAGATCTTGGTGTGGCCGGCACTGTGGCTCACTGGGATAATCCTCTGCCTGCAGCGCCGGCACCCCCGGGTTCTAGTCCCGGTTGGGGCACCAGTTTTGTCCCGGTTGCTCCTCTTCCAGGCCAGCTCTCTGCTGTGGCCCGGGAGGGCAGTGGAGGATGGCCCAAGTGCTTGGGCCCTGCACCCCATGGGAGACCAGGAGGAAGCACCTGGCTCCTGGCTTCAGATCAGCGCAGCGCTGGCTGTAGTGGCCACTTGGGGGGTGAACCAATGGAAGGAAGACCTTTCTGTCTATCTAACTCTGCCTGTCAAAAAAAAAAAAAAAAAAAAGATCTTGGTGTGAGACATTTTTGAAATCCATGCATATTATATGTGTGTACTCCATGAACTCATAAGACATTATTTTCATAAGAGATGGGTAGAACATGCTCCCATCTGCCCTTCACTCCCCAAATGTCCACAACGGTTCTCGCCTAGGGGCTGAAGCTGGGGGTCTAGAACGCAGTCCAGGTCCCCCGGGTGGGTGGCAGGAATCCAGTACTTGAGCCATCACCACTGCTTCCCCGGGTCTGCATTAGCAGGGAGCTGGAGCCGGGAGCTGGAGCTGGGTGTGGAACCCGAGCACCTTAACCCTAACCACCAGGCCAATTGCCTGACCCTCGGATGGACTTCAAAGTGTTTTGTATCAGAATAAACTTATTTTTTGTGTGTCTGATTAGCTGAAGAAATTATATTAAGAGCTAGTCTCATATTTTCTTTTCAATACCTGTGTTAGAAATATTTTATTTGAAAGTCAGAGTTACAGAGAGGAGAGGCAGAGAGAGAGAGAGAGAGAGAGAGAGAGAGAGAGAGAGAGGTCTTCCATTCGCTGGTTCACTCCCCAATTAGCCGCAACAGTTGGAGCCAAACCAATCCAAAGCCAGGAGCTTCTTCCGGGTCTCCCACGTAGGTGCAGGGACCCAAGGACTTGGGCCATCCTCTACTGCTTTCCCAGGCCATAGCAGAGAGCTGGATCAGAAGTGGAGCAGCTGGGACTCCGACTGGTGCCCATATGGGATGCCGGCACTGCAGGCAGTGGCTTTACCTGCTATGCCACAGCGCCGGCCCATAGCTTGTTTACCATGCAATTTAAAACATGACCTTGCACATAACTTAGTTCATCATTTGGAGGACGGATGCAAGTCACCCAGGTGAGGCTTTTTTTTTTTTTTTTGATAGGTAGAGTGGACAGTGAGAGAGAGACAGTGAAGATTTAGACGTTGGTTCACTCCCACAATGGCCGCTGCTGCCGGCGCACCGCGCTGATCCGAAGCCAGGAGCCAGGTGCTTCTGGTCTCCCATGCGGGTGCAGGGCCCAAGCACTTGGGCCATCCTCCACTGCCCTCCCAGGCCACAGCAGAGAGCTGGACTGGAAGAGGAGCAACCGGGACAGAATCTGGCGCCCCAACCGGGACTAGAACCCGGTGTGCCGGCGCCGCAAGGCAGAGGATTAACCTATTGAGCTGCGTTGCCGGCCGGTGAGGCTGTTCTTAAACCAGGGAGCCCGGCCTCTGGGTTAGGTTTTTGGAAGGGCTCCTGCCACAGTGGCTTTTAGGAGTGCGAGTGCTGGGGAGGACGTAGTGAACTTGCAGTTGGAGCAATGAGAATTGGGTCATGGCAGGTGTTTTGAAAACTAATTACGTAGGAAGTGGGCTGGGTTGGCAAGGGGTGGAAGGCCCTGGGCACAGGGCCACACCCACCAGCCTTGGCAGATTAGTCTTAGGCCACACCCATGACCTTTGGTGTCTGTAGCTTCAGCCTTAGTGGCATCAGGCAGGTGACCTAGGGCTGCCATGGCCGCATCTGCGGAGAGGAGCCAAGAGGTGGGCTGGGGGCCAAGACCCTGGCGCCCTGATACAGAAGCTGGGAGAGAGCAGAACTCTCTGGCAGAAAAGGGAGACGCCAATGGGGAGAAGTGGAGGAGCAGACGGGGCAGCAGGGACCTGGTCCCCAGAACCGCCCTGGCCTCCGACACGCACTGGTCCATCTGTCCCAGGCCAGGTGTCCATGTTTCCAAGCCTGCTGGAGACTTCCAGAAGCCGTGGTTTTCTTTCGCTGGGTCTACGCGGAGCTGCTTCACCCCACCTAGTGTTTCCATGGCTGCGGTCTCGCCGCTGTCTTCACAGTTCTGGGGTCACTGTGGATGGTGTCCTCTGTAAGCCAGCAGCTCGTCCTCTTCGTCTGGCCCTGGCCCCGTGTGGGAACCTTGCCGGAGCCCATGCACCTGCGTGCGCTCATCGGAGCTCTCAGCCTGGACCCCACCGCAGGCGCCATGGGCAGGACAGTGTTTTGTGAAGCGTGTACCTGACCTGTCAAGTTGATGTCTCGGGCGTTTCTGCCAATCTGCTTGTGTGACCTTGGACTTCGACTTCAGAGTCGTCTTTCGTGCATTCGGGATGATGCTGGGTTGGCGTGGGGACGTCTGGTGTCTTAGTCCAGCAGCTGCAGTTATTACATGAGGAGCTCTGGGAGAACTACTTAAAAACATGGATTCCCAGCACCCTGTATCTCCTGCTTTCCTAAATCAGGATCCTGTGGGTGCCTAGATATGTGCATTTTATTTTATTTTATTTTATTTATTTTTTTGACAGGCAGAGTTAGTGAGAGAGAGAGAAAGAAAGAGCGAGAGACAGAGAGAAAGGTCTTCCTTCCGTTGGTTCACCCCCCAAATGGCCACTATGGCCAGCGCACTGCGCCGATCCGAAGCCAGGAGCCAGGTGCCTTCCTCCTGGTCTCCCATGGGGTGCAGGGCCCAAGGACTTGGGCCATCCTCCACTGCCCTCCCGGGCCACAGCAGAGAGCTGGACTGGAAGAGGAGCAACCAGGACAGAATCTGGTGCCCCAACCGGGACTAGAACCGGGAGTACCAGCGCTGCAGGCGGAGGATTAGCCTAGTGAGCCGCGGCATTGGCCAATATGTGCATTTTAAATAAGCACCCCAGGACTGTTCAGAGCGGTTCAAAACTTTGAGAAATACAAAAGAATCAATTAATTACGTTTGGGTGGTGCTGTGTTGGGGAGACAGTACTATCATCTGTGGCCACAAGGTGGCAGCAGAAGAGGGCAGGATAATTGGCAGCCTCTGGCAGGTGCTCATACCCCTAGGGATGGGTGTGGGCATCAGACTGTGAAAGGGTTGGGACTTTACGGGGACAGGGGCCCCTTGGCCAGGTGGAGTCTTACCACAGAGCAGTCCTTGTGACCGCCTGTCTCATTTTGGGGGATCTTTAAGGAGACTTGGCTTCTTGCCATATGCCAGCAGCAGGAGTTGTGTGTGACCTTGGCCAGGCTGCAGGCGGTGACAGTGTGTGTCCCACATGGCTGAGTATGAGGCAAGGAGTGGGTCACATGCCTAGATGTGATCAGCGGAGTCCCAGGGCCTGTGGGAAGCAGGGTCCCTGTCCGCACCGTTCCTGGTTCCAGGAGCTCGGACAGGCTGGCTCCTCTCCCTACTGGACCAGGTCCGCGGCTGTGGAGCTGGCCGGGGATGCCCAGGGTGGGGTGAGGGCAGGCGGCAGGAAACGGGTCGGGGCAGCTGCTTCTGGGAGCAGCCACAGTAGGGATAAGGGGAAAGGATTAGGTGACAGTCCCCTAACTCGGCCCGGAACTGACACCCTCCTCCCCTCCCACAGCACCCTGGCCTGCTCCCTCCAAGCCTGCCAGAGCTCAGAATAACCAGAGTCAGACGGCGGGATGGCAGGCGCTCCACTCGGCACCTTGCTCCTCCTGGGGCTCCTTGGTATGAACAGGGGTCGGGCGTCCAGACCAAGACAGACTTGGCCCCCAGGGACCGTGGGCGTCCAGCCACCCTTTGTTCTCGCCCCCACCCCAGGCAGCGGCCTGGGCAGGAATGAGGAGCTGAGTCTGTACCACCATCTGCTGGACAACTATGACCGACAGAGCCGGCCGGTGAGGGGCCCCGAGGACACCGTCACCATCACCCTCAAGGTCACCCTGACCAACCTCATCTCCCTGGTAAGCACCCGGCCCCCACCCTGAGCCTGACGTCCGGTTTCCGGCCCCCACGGCCCGCGGTCACCCCGGTCTCGCTTCCGCAGAACGAGAAGGAGGAGACCCTCACGACCAGCGTGTGGATTGGAATCGTGAGTCGGTGCTGGGAGATGCTGCCCAGGGGCCCCCAGCTGTGCGGCTCGAGGGGGAGACGCAGGCCACGTGTCCCGTGTCCCCCGCCCCGCAGGACTGGCAGGATTACCGACTGAACTTCAGCAAGGACAGCTTTGGGGGCGTACAGACCCTGCGGGTCCCTTCCGAGCTCGTATGGCTGCCGGAGATTGTGCTGGAAAACAAGTGAGGGCGCCAGGCAGGAGCAGGGGGCTGGCCTGGATCTGGTCGGGGCAGGTGGGGCAGACCCGTGAGAAGTCCGGCTTCCTGGAACCCACAGCATCGACGGCCAGTTCGGCGTGGCCTACGAGGCCAACGTGCTGATCTACGAGGGTGGCTTCGTGAGCTGGCTGCCGCCGGCCATCTACCGCAGCACCTGCGCCGTGGAGGTCACCTACTTCCCCTTCGACTGGCAGAACTGCTCGCTCATCTTCCGGTGGGAAGGGAGACCTGGAGACCCGGGTGGCTGTGGGTGGGGCCAGGGAAGGGGGCGGTCCCTGGGGGGGTGGGCTTGGTGCCGGAGGCGGGGTCAGGCTCTGGAATGAGACGGGCTGAGTTCCAAGTTGGGTGGGACCAAGTGCGTGCAGGCGGGGCCTGGGTGTAGGGGGTGGGGCCCCAGGACCCCCAGATCCGAGCTCCCAGGGCGAGGACCCAAGGACCCCAAGATCTGAGCTCCCAGGGCGGGGACCCAGGGGCCCCCAGACCCGAGCTCCCAGGGTGGGGCCCGAGGCCCAGGCCCACGTCCAAGCCCGGGGGATGGGCCGGACCCTGTGGCTCCGCAGCTCTCAGACATACAACGCCGAAGAGGTGGAGTTCGTCTTTGCCGTGGACGACAACGGCGAGACCATCGACAAGATCGACATCGACACGGAGGCCTACACCGGTGAGGCCCCTCCTACTCCGAGAAAGCCGCTTCTGGCCGAGGTCCTCGGGTGCAAGGGTCCCCAACCCGACAATGGGCGTGAACTGGCAACTGGGCCCTGCGTGTCGCCCGCAGCCGGCCCACACACTCGCCAGGAATGCCCCTTCCGCGCTCACTGCCCACGGTCCCAGCAGCCTGCCCTGGTCCACACGGCCACAGGTGTCTGTGGTCAGGTGTGCGGGCTGACCAGCGCCTTCGCCCCGCAGAGAACGGCGAATGGGCCATCGACTTCTGCCCGGGCGTGATCCGCCGCCAGGAGCACAGTGACGTCATCTACACGCTCATCATCCGCCGGAAGCCGCTCTTCTACGTCATCAACATCATCGTGCCCTGCGTGCTCATCTCGGGCCTCGTGCTGCTCGCCTACTTTCTTCCGGCGCAGGGTAGGGCCTGGGCCCGGACGGAAACCCTGGCCGGCTCCTGGGGGCCAGCCCTGCCTGCCCTTAGCTGGCGTGCTCCCCGCAGCTGGCGGCCAGAAGTGCACGGTCTCCATCAATGTCCTGCTCGCCCAGACCGTCTTCCTGTTCCTGATCGCTCAGAAAATCCCAGAGACGTCTCTGAGCGTGCCACTGCTGGGCAGGTGAGGCCCGGAGGAGCAGGCGGGGAGGGACGGGGGGCCGCGCGGCCGCCGAGACCCAGCGACCGCAGGAGCTGCTCTGGCTGCTGTGCCCCCTCCAGGGCTTTATTTGGGTGCAGGGTGGGGCTGGGATGGTGGTGGAGCCTCAGGTCCCCCGTCTTCGGCCAGCAGGAGGTCTCCCGAGTTTCCCTGTGAGGGGGGGAGGAGGTCCGGCTCAGTGCCTCCCCCATCCCGCCGCCTCGGGTCCCCACCCCACCCTTCTCCCCCGAACTCACGGGCTCCCCGGAGATGCCGAGGCCGGGCTGGCATCGCCACTGCTGCAGGAAAGGGCTGGACTCCTGTAGCCCCCGGCCGCACAGGCACAGCCACGCGCCCTGCACGAGGAGCTGGGCGCTCACCCGCGCCGCGACCCCAGCTTGCCGGGCACCTCGCCCGGCAGCCTGAGCCACGCGGGCCAGCGCTCCGCCCGGATCCCCAGTTTCTGGGGCTGCACCTGGGCCGCCGCCACCCTCCAGCCGTCGCGCCTCCTTCTGCAGCCACAGGGCTGAGATCTGCGTTGGGGACACAGGAGTTAGGGCAAACGCAGAGACCCCGCCGCCCCGCAGCCCCGCAGCCCCGTGCCGCACCTCGACCAAGGCGGCCCCGAAGCTCACGATGCTGGCCGCGGCTTCTCTCAGCACCAGACCCAGGGTGGGCGGCTTCGCCGACTCCCCAGGCTCCGGGGACCCCAGCTCGCTGAACCTCTGCTCCAGATACTCGTGGGCGGCTGCCGCGGCCAGTTCCAGGGAGGAGAGGAGTGGGGGCTGCAGGGCTACCTGGAGAGGGCGCAAGGACGGTGGTCAGAAAGTCGCCGGAAAGGGGTCATGGAGAGGGGTCGCCCTCGGGTGGGACCGCGGGCAGAGCCTCACCTCGGTGGAGCTGTGGAAGTGGTAGACCCACAGTAGGGTCTCCAGGGAGCTGGGGGTGCCCTTCATGGCCGCCGCAGGTGACAGGAGGGGCAGAAGGGCTGGGGACGCGGCTAGCCTCGCAGAGGGGGAGCCGCGAGGGGGCGCCACCCCACCTGCTGCAGAGGGGAGGTGTGTTTGTGAGGTCAGGGGACCCGCGCCTGCTGCGCCCTGGGGGCGTGGGGAGGCAGGGTTGTCAGCTGGGCCGATGATGCTGTGACGTCACGCAGGTCGCCCTCTTCAGGTACCTTATTTTCGTCATGGTGGTTGCCACTCTCATTGTCATGAACTGCGTCATTGTGCTCAACGTGTCTCTGCGGACGCCCACCACTCACACCACCTCCCCGCGGCTGCGCCACGTAAGCGCGGGGGGGGGGGGGTGGGGGTGGCGGGGGCGCGGCCCGAGTAAGAGGCGGGACCTAGAGCTGAGCCCCACCCCCAGGCCCTGCTGGAGCTGCTGCCCCGCCTCCTGGGCTCCGGCCCGCCCCCCGAGGCCCCTCGCTCCGCGTCACCGCCCAGGCGGGCGTCGTCCGTGGGTCTTCTGCTCCGCGCCGAGGAGCTGATCTTGAAAAAGCCCCGGAGCGAACTCGTGTTCGAGGGGCAGAGGCATCGGCACGGGGCCTGGACGGGTGAGCACAGTGGCCCTGGGCAGCCAGCGGGGGGTGCCTGCAGCCGGGGAGGCTCCCCTTGGCCCACCCTCAGGGTCCCCCCTTGCCAGCTGCCCTCTGCCAGAGCCTGGGCGCCGCCGCCCCCGAGATCCGCTGCTGTGTGGATGCCGTGAACTTCGTGGCTGAGAGCACGCGAGACCAGGAGGCCGCTGCGGAGGTGCGGCGGAGCCGGGGCGGGGCGGGAGCCCCCTCCCCCAGCCGCCGAGCTGAGCCGGCCTCTCTCTTCCCCAGGAGGTGTCCGACTGGGTGCGCATGGGGAAGGCCCTGGACAACATCTGCTTCTGGGCGGCTCTGGTGCTGTTCAGCGTGGGCTCCACCGTCATCTTCCTCGGGGGCTACTTCAACCAAGTGCCGGACCTCCCCTACCCGCCGTGCATCGGGCCCTGAGCCCAGCCCGCGCGGCGTCGGCTTTGCCAGCCTCCAGCAGGTCACCCGTCAGGCTGCTGCCACCACCCCCGCCTTGCCAAGAGGAAGCGGGATGCCAAGGTGTGGATGCCAAGGTCAGCCCCCAGGTCAGCCACACTGACCCCTGGCTGTCGGCAGGCCCAGCCCCGGGAACGGCTCGGCCTGAGCTGTTAAGCAACCTTTATCCATTTGCTAAACCACTTGGCAGGATGGGCAGAGGCTGGGGTGGGTGGCCCCCAGGCCCTGCCCCTTCCCGGCAGCCCTGACTAGCTTGTGAGAGAACACACAATACACGAAGCCTGCAGTGGTAGGAGCTGGTTGAATTGTCTTTATTAACAAACGGGGTATCCAAGGCCACTACATCGAGGAGAGGTGGGGAGGGCAGGGAGGGCTACTTGCTGCTCACACTATATACAGATGCAAGCAAGGGGGGGTTGGCTGGGGCGGGAGCACCCTGCTCCCACCCTCCACCAGGGAGAGGCTAGAAAAGATGGGGGTCGGAGAGGGGGGAATGTTTTGGCTGGCGGGGTCCCCCCTCCATTCCCTGGGGGGAGGGAATCATTAAAGTGCTTTCAGAGAAATGAGGAAATGGCCCCTGCCCCGGAGTGGCTGGAGACTCCCCTAAAGCCCGGGGCCCGGTGACGCCCCCCAGAGTCTGGTACATTCAAGGGGGGAGCCGGCTCCCCTAACGTGCAAATAAAGGGGTCCAGGGCCCTGCCCAGTCAGCAGCGGGGGTGGGGGGAGGGGCCAAGCCCCAAGCACTCTCCTCACAAGGGGAGGCGGGGCAAGGCCCCCTGATTCCTGCCAAGGGGTAGCCGTGTCCCTCCCCAGAAGCTGGGGCCAGGCACAGACTTGGGGAGAGAACACTGGGGGAAGAGGATGGTCACGTGATCACAAAAGCATCAGGGGTCAGAGGTCACGTTCCCAGCAGGCTCCAGTGAATCAAACCAGTAAAAGCAAAAGCCCAGGGAGGGGGAAGCAGGGCGGCCTGGGAAGCCTGGCGCAGGGAGAGCCGGGTCCAGGGCAGGGTGGCCCCAGCCCAGGGCGCCGTCACCAGTTCATGATGCAGTTCCGGTTCAGAGTCATGAAGTAAACCTGGCTGCTGCCCCCAGAGCGGACGGAGGCAAAAAACACCTGCGTGGGGCGGGGGGAGGCGTCACCAGGGGCCGGCGAGGACCGGCACACCGCAGGGACAGGCAGGCAGGGGAAGAGGTGCTGGGAGGACCCAGGGCAGTGTGCCCGCCCCTGACCTCCGCCCCGCCCCGGCCCCGGGCCTCCCACCTTGTCGTTCCGCTCACACAGGAACTTGAGCCTCTGGGCTCGTTTGTGCATGAAGACCCCGTCCAGGTGGCCCGTCTCCACGGAGCGGATCTCGATGGCTTTCTCACCCCAGCCCATGATCTGGTTGGAGCAGATGTAGGCTGCGGGGGAGGCAGGGGCAGCCAGTGAGCGAGCCGCAGCCCGGGCCGCCGGGGTGGGGGGGTCCGCGGGCCTCACTCACCCACAGAGGTGGGCATCTCGCCCCACTGCAGCACCACGTCCTTGATGATCCGCCCGTACGTGTTGACGTAGACACCCTCGTCCTCGTAGCACAGCAGCATCTCCATGCCGTCGGTGTTGGGGAGGAAGATGATGGCGTGGGGTGTGATCTGGCTCTGAATCTGGGGAGGAAAAGGAGGCTGGAGGTCCCCTGGCGGGTGCCAGGCTGGGCCCCGCCCCCGATACCCTGCAGCTGCCTCACGTGCACGGGGATGTAGATGTCGTAGCTGTTCCCCGAGTCCACATCCACAGCGTGGAAGCCGGCGCTGGAGCCGTAGATGACCTTGAGCCGCTGCCCCTCCTCCACCGTGAGGTCGACCAGCAGAGGGCGGTGCGGGAGGTCGGCAAAGGACTGTGGAGCAGAGAAGGGGTCGGCGCGGGCTGGGGTGGCCCGGGCCTGGGGCAGCGTCGGGGCAGGGGTGGGGTTACCTTGAAGGCCATGAATTTGTGGTAGGGCTTGGGGGCCCAGGCATACACCTCCACGGAGCTCTTCAGGGCAATGACCAGGAACTTGATGCGCTCGTACTTCACTGGGGGCAGCAAGGCAGGGGGCTGCAGGCCCATTCCCCAGGTCTCTCCCAGCACAGCCCCAGCTTCCCGGCCCCGCCCCTCCCTGGCTCACCCACGCGGTAGTGGCCACAGCCCTCCATGTCCCCCACAGTGGTCCAGCCCTGCTTCTTCTCCACTTCCGGGTCATTGTGCAGAATCTTGTTCCGGAGCCAGGACAGGTAATACACCCGCAGTTTGTTCCTCTTCCCTGAGGGACAGACAGACTTGTCCTCACGGCGGCCCAGCTGCTGCCCCCCCACTGTCCTCGGTCTGCCACCCGCAAAGGGGTGAGGAAAGCGTAGCCCCGCCTTCAGCTCCGGCCCAGGGCTGCCCTCCTCGCCTGCGGGAGAGCTGAGCCCCGCCCACCGCCCTCCTCGCCTGTGGGAGAGCCGAGCCCCCCCCCCCCCCCCCACACACCTGAGATGGTGATGAGCAGGTTGAGCCCCTCCAGCACGTCCATCTGCTGGAAGCGGCGCCGCCCTATGAGGCCGTACACCTTGCCCGTCAATTTTCGCTCTGCCCCTTGAGCCCATTCTCCGTGCCCACCTTTTTACCAGGCCCACACAAAAGGGAGAGCCCCCGGAATGGGATCCAGCTGGGCAGGTGAGAGGCAGGGCCGGGCGCTCCCCGGTCGGGCCCCGTCAGCCCTCGCCAGCCCTCGCCAGCCTGGCTTACCCCAGAGGGCGGCACAGAGGATCTCCGAGTTGAAACGCTTCTTGTACTTGCGGATCTCGGGGGTCTCGCTGTGGGCGCGGGTGTTGGTGGGATTCACGTTGACCACGGAGCCCTTCCTCACGTCGTACTGCAGCTGATCCAGCCGAGCGCCCTCTCCACCCACCAGGGCTGCCGGGAGGAGCGAGAACAGGGGGAGGCGCTGCAGCCTCTCCTCTGCCCCATCACCCCACCCCCTACCCCTGCTCTGGATCCTTGGAATGTTCAGAAGGGAAGGGGGAGACTGCAGAACGGGGGTGGGGGTGCCCGGAAGAGGCGGAGGCCGAGAGCAGGACACAGTCGCAGGCCTGGCTCGAGTCCCAGTTCTGCCGCTTGTTATGTTGGAGCTGTGCCCAGGTCCCTGTGCTGCCCTCCGGGCCCAGCCTCTGGGCAGCTCCGCGCCCGTTCTCACCTGTGATGGGGATGGTGTCCCCACTGCCTCCGGGCTGGTAGAGCCCTAGATCCACAAACATGGTGAAGGAGCTCTTGCCGGGGGCCTTGACCAGGCCACGGGACTGGTACTGTGGGCGGGACAGCAGTCAGGCAGACCAGCCTGGGCCCGGCCCCTCTACCCTCCCCGGTCCCTGGAGGGAGGCTCGTGGCGCTCTGCCTGCCCACGGCCAGGCCCCATCTCTGGTCCATGGAGCCACCCCAGCCCACTTACGTCACTGCTTCCATCCTTTGAGGGGGGGCTCTGGCCTTTGCTGTTCTCGGTGGGCGAGTGGCTCGGCTGGACCACGTCCGGCAGGTTCGTGTAGCCGTTGCTGTCTGAGTGCAGCAGGCTTCGCTCCTCCTCCGGGGTCTGCAGGACAGAGGGTCAGGTCGGCGCTGGGGCCCGGCCGGGGTGGGCGTGGGCGCGGGCAGCCGTGGGCAGGGCAGGGCGGGGGGCAGGGCAGGCAGGGCGGGGGGCCCACTCACGCGCTGCACCAGCATCGTGCCGCCCCCGTAGGGGGGCTGGGTCCCGGCCGTCTCCTCCACGTCGTGGACCACCATGGTGCTGACGCTGTCTGTGTCTCCGTCGCTGCTGGGGGAGACAGGAAGAGGCCCCTCCAGGTGCTGCTGCCGTACAGGTGCCCCAGGAAGCAGGGGGCGGCCAGACTCGGGCTTTCCAGCTCAGCCCTCGCTGGTGGCCCCTGCTGTGCGGCGCATTCCATGGGACAGGGACAAGACGCAGGCACCCGCGCCCCGTGCTCTCTCCCTTGGGCTGCCCCATACCGGCCCCCGGGGGTGTCTCTGCTGCCCTCCGCAGGCTCGCCGTCGCCCTCCTCGTCGTCGTCCTCGCTGCTCTCCACCTCCTCGCTGGACGAGGAGTAGTCCATGGCTTTTTTGGGCGGCCGCGGGGCCTCGTCCAGGGTCCGCTCTTTCAGCAGCACAAAATCCTGCCAAAGGGCAGAGGTGCGTGAGGGGAGGGGTGGGTGCAGGCTGAGGGGGTGGCAAGGAGGATGCCAGAGGAGACCCCCATCTCACTGACCTCACCAATCGCTCGCTTATAGCTCTAGGAGGGGCCGCGGGGGGGAGAAAGGCAGCCAGGAGAAGGCAGGAGAGAGGGTGAGAAAGGTTAGTGACTTGAGCCACACCCGGGGCAGGGTCCCCACTGCCCTTCCTCTCCCGTAGATTAGTGAAGCCCCACCCCTGACACCCAGGCTCCACGGCCTGCCCCTAAGCCCAGCACCAGGGTGAGGCAGGGCTATGCCTGCCGCCAGGCAACTCACTGCGGGCCGGCCTGGCCGAGAGCGGTGGTCATCGGGCTTGGCTTTGTTCCCGGGGGACAGCACTGGGGAGCTGTCCAGTTTGGTGGTAGCTGGACACAGCAGGGTGGGAGAAGGGAGGTTACCCCGATACCTACACAGCGGCTGGCCCCAAGCCCGAGAACTCCATGTCTCTGCCCTCATCCGCTCTGCCCCCGCAGGTGTCCTGGCCCACCACCACCAGAGGCAGGGCCCATCCCGATCGAGACCAGGCTGGGGCGCAGCGCCAGCCTCTCCAGCCCTCGCTCACGCACCTCCCACTCGGTTTCGCTCCAGCGAGCCAGCCTGCGGGAGGTGCCCATGAGAAGCCGGGAGGACGCTGTCCGAGCGCTCCCAGCCAGGATCGCTCCTCCTGAGGTCAGGGTTACTGTGGGGGGATAGGATCAGGGTCAGGGAGACAGGAGCGCCCCTCCACGGGGGCCAGGCTGCACTGCAGAGGGAGCTGTCACCGGGGAAGCAGGTGGCACAAGTGAGAAGTGAGAGTGAGTAGGGGACAACTCTGTTACCTAGAGGCGTTGGGCGGGCCAGGGGGCTGAGCAGGGGGCCCTGGAGGCTTGGGGGCGCCCCGCTCTGCCCGCCTTTGCAGGTAGATCTGCCAGGCGGAGTTGCTGCGAGGTCTGTGGAGGGAGCACAGGGTGCGGGGTGGGGGGGCACAGAGGGGGGCTGAGGTGACCTGGCCGGGGCTTGCCCACCCCTGAGCGGGTAACCTGGGAAAGTCCCCTCTGCCCCCCGATTCCCTAGGCTGGCACCTGCCCCCACCAGGCAGTACCTGGCACGGACAGCCTGCGCTGGCCGGGACCCTGCGGCCCCACTGGTGTTAAGGGCAGTGGCGATGGACGAGGTCCTCTGAGGCACCTGCAGGAGGAGCACGTGGTTGGCCGGCGCCCCCAGCAGGCGGGGTTCAGGGACGTCAGCCGCGTGTCCGGGTTAGAAAGCTGGGAAGTGGTAGCTTCTAACCCGGGGAGTCTGCCCCAGGCTCCTGCCACCAGCTGGGTGTTTCCCACTTCCAGGGCCACAGCTGCACCCCTTCCTTCCCACCCTGCCTGCCCCTCCACTCACCCCTCCCTCTTCTTCGCCTCACTGTCCCCTTGCTGTCCCCTGGTCCGAAAGGGCTGTCCCTACCTTGGGCGGGGCCTCATTGTCTGGCCGGACCCAGGCTGGGGGGTTGGGGCTGGGCCCAGGCCCTTCAGAGGTGGGGTCTGAATTCTGGCGGATGACAGCTCCGCGGGCACTGGGCGTGGCAGCAGGTGCGGCGACGGCAGGGTCTGGGTCGTGGGAGGCTGGGAAGGCAGCCAGGTTTCGGGTGGGCTGGTCCTGCAGGGACTGGGATCGGGGTACAGGTGCTGCATATGGCTTCAGTGGGACCCGGTGTGCCACCAGGCTCTGCAGGGAGAGACCAGGGAGGGTGGGCTGCCCGCTCTGTGGCACATCCCCACCTGCATGTCAGGGTGCGGGCAGGGAAGGGGCATTGCGAGGGTTCCCGGAGCCCGAGGACAGGTAAGGAGTAGGAGCTGTGACCATCTGTGCCCATGGACCCTGTGGTCTATGATCCTGGCTGGGAGCTGAGTCAGTGTGGACTTGCGTGCTCACGCGTGTGCACATACACGCCAAGACAGCCGTGTGGAGACACTTACCTTGTGCGGTCCCTCCTGGGGCTCCACCGGCCTCTGCATAGGAGGAGTTTGGGACAGGGGTCCTGGGGGGCTGGGGGAGGCCTGGGGGGCAGGGGGCTCAGGTCCCGTGCTGCTCGGCTTGGTCTTGGCCAAGGGAGAGTTCTGCTGCTTGTTCATCCTGGTTCTCTCTTCCACCTGCGATGGTCAGGCAGGCTGGTCTCGCCTTCTGGCCCCAGCGGCCCCAACCCCTCAGCCCCAGGCCTCTTCCCCTTCTCGCCAGTCTCCAGGGCTCGGGTGCGGAGGGCAGGGAGTACCTCTCGGGCCCAGGCTGGTTTGTCGGCAGGGTTGACGCCCCGGCCATAGTGGTAGAGGGGCTTCCTGTCCCCGGGCAGGATCTGCGGCGGCTGCTTCTGGAGCTGCTGCTGCTGCTGCAGGGACTTGAGGTAGGCGTGCTCCTGCTGCAGCTGCCTCTGCAGGCGCTCCGACTGCCGCTGCTCCTCCAGCTGCTTCCGCTTGTACTCCTGGGCCCAAGGGTAGGGAGAGAGGGCTCAGCAGGGGGTGGCCCCGGAAGTGCGAGCCGGCGGCCCTCGGCTTTCTCCAGCTGCCTAGAGAGGAGGGTCTCCCTCGGTGACTCGGGCGAACCCTCTCTCCCCGAGTGCTCCCATCCCCGCTCGGCAGAGGGGCTCTGGGGAGCGCCTCCCCCGGGGACGCGAGGGCCCGTTACCAGCAGGAGCGCCTGTTCCTGGAGCAGCTGCTGCTGGAGGATCTCGAGCTGTCGCTGCTCCTCCTCCAGCCTGTGACGGATATACTCCTGGGGGGGGCGGGGCGGGGGCAGGGGGCAGGGGGAGAGGCGGAGGGGGCAGCGCGGCGGCGGCGGCGTGAGGATGAGGGGAGCAGGGAGGATGAGCCCCGAGCAGGGGTGCGGCACGGATGGGGTCAAGAGGAGCAGGAGCGGGACAGGGACAGGGAGGGGTAGAGATGGGAATGAAGGCACAGAGACAGGAGGAGGGCAGGAGCCAGGGCCGGGGTTCAAGGGGGGGAGAAAACAGAGAGAGAGAGTGAAGCTAGAAGAGATAGGGGGACTCTGGGGGGGGGAGAGCAGGGGAGCAGGCGGCGGGGGCGGGAGGACCGGGAGCACGGGGAGCGCCGTACCTGCTCCCGCTCGGCCTGCCGCCGCTCCTCCTCCCGCCGCAGGGCCTGCATGTCCTCCAGCCGCCGCTGCTGCTCCTTCTCCTGCAGCTTGCGCTGCTCCCGCTCCCGCCGCTGTTGCTGGGGGCCGACAGGGAGGAGGTGGGCTTAGGGACAGCCCTGCCCTGGGAGGGCGCCCTGCAGGGTCAGGGCTCATGTCCTTGCTTCCCCAGGGTGGCGACAGAGAATGGCCTCAATATGCCTGCTCACAGCCCAAGGGGGTGTGACGTGCAAGAGGATAAAGCAGGCTGCCCCAACCCCTAACAGCCAGCAGAGAACCAGGAGACAAGCGCCCGGGCTGTGGGATAACCTTGGGCCACAAGGGGGCACCAGGTGCTCCTGCACAGAGAGGCAACCTTTGGATTTCCGTCCAGGGCCTGGGCAGCAAGGCTGTGGGGTTGCACTTGACTTTCACAAGGTTTCTGACCAAAGAGCTCTCAAACAACAGTGGGGCAGGCGCTCCGAGGAGCCCTTGCACTCCCAGGGACCCGCGCCTCTGCGGTGGGCTGCCTCCTCCGGGAAGCGTCTGGCTAGCTGTGATTTCCTGTTGCTGTGCCGCCTGAACGCTACGGAGCTGACAGAACTGCACACGGCTCTTTTGGAGCAGGCTTTCTCGCAAGTTCTTTTTCTGTTCAACAAAGGTGGGGGGGGTCTGCTTTGGGGAGCGGGAGACGCAGTGTATGCGCTGCAGTTCGGGCCTACTATTTTAGACACTTTTTTTGTGTGTGAAGTCCCTCTCATGAACTTGGAAGTCTTACAACAGTTTCAACAAATATGCTATTTATTTAAGGCATGTTAAAAACTGCTTTGGGGCCGGCGCTGTGGTGCAGTGAGTAAAGCCACCACCTGCAGTGTCGGCATCCCATATGGGTACTGGTTTGAGTCCCGGCTGCTCCACTTCCAATCCAGCTCTCTGCTATGACCTGGGAAAGCAGTAGAAGATGGCCCAAGTGCTTGCGCCTCTTCACCCACACGGGAGACCCAGGAGAAGCTCCTGGCTCCGGATCAGTGCAGCTCTGGCCGTTGAGGCCAACTGGGGAGTGAACCAACAGACAAGAGACCTCTCTCTCTCTGCCTCTCCTTCTGTGTAACTCTTTCAAATAAATAATAATAATAATAAAAACCCTCTTCTTCCCCATGTGTCCCTCTGCACCATAAATGAGTACGAATGTATATGCGTGCACTCTATATATAGACATATACACCCAGTCTTCCACATTCGTGGGTTCCGTGTTGGTGCGTTCAATCGCCCCAGTAGAAAATATTTAGAGCAGTGGGCATTTGGCACAATGGTTAAGATGTTGCTTGGGATGCCTACATTCTATATGCAAGTGCCTGGTTCAAGTCCTGGCCTGCTTCCTGCTAATGCACACCCTGGGAGGCAGCAAGTAATGGCTCAGGCATGGGTCCCGACACCCATATGGGAGACTCAAATTCAGTTCTGAGCTCCTGTTTGGGCCTGGCCCAGCCCTGGCTGCTGTGGGCATTTGGGGAGTGAGCCAGCAGATGGGAGATCTCTGTGTATGTGTCTGTTTTTCTTTCTGTGTCCCTCTGCCTTTTGAACAAATAAAATTTAGGAAAAAAATTACATCTGTACTGAATATGTATAGACTTAAATCTTTTTAAAGATTTATGTATTTGAAAGGCAAAATAACAGAAAGATCTTCCATTCACTGGTTCACCCCCAAATACCCACAACAGCTAGGGTTGGGCCAGGCTGAAGCCAGGAGCCAGAAACTCTATGCAGGTCTCCCACGTGAGTGGCAGGAACCCGAGCACCTGAGCTCCCTCCCAGGCACATTAGCAGGAAGCTGGATCAGAAGTGAGGGTTGGGCCACTGCCTGCAGTGCTGGCATCCTGGATGGCCATTGGTTTGAGTCCCAGCTGCTCCACTTCCAATCCGGTTCTCTGCTGTGGTCTGGGAAAGCAGTGGAAGATGGCCCCTGCACCCACGTGGGAGACCCGGAAGAAGCTCTTGGCTCCTGGCTTCGGATCGGCACAGCTCTGGCCGTTTGCAGCTATCTGGGGAGTGAACCAGCAGATGGAAGACCTCTCTTTCCCTCTCTCTCTGACTGCCTCTCTGTAACTCTGCCTTCCAAATAAATAAATAAATCTTAAAAAAAAAAAAAAAAAGCGCAGGGCAGCCACGACTCAAATCCTCAGATATGGATGCGAGTATCCCGAGCAGCAGCTTAACCAGTGCACCACAATGCCCACCCCAGACTTCTCTCTTACCATCCCCTAAATAATACAGCTATTTACCTAGCACTCAGGTACCAGAAGCAATCTAGAGACGGTTTGCAGATGCATGGGATGCTGTGCGGGGGTCACTATGCAAATACTGTAGCACTGCAATATGAGGGACCTGAGCACCCAGATTCCGGCTTCACTGGGGGTCCTGACCAATCCTCCAACTGCCCCTCAGGTCCCAGGGGACAAATGTGTTCTAACTGGCGATATCAAGAATTAGAAAGGAAGAAGCTCTGTGCTTATTTAAAAATAGGATTCTGTTAATTAAAATGAGTCTCTCCCACCCACCTCCAATTAGTCCAAAACGATAACACTACACTTCACAGTCCTACGCTAAAATAACCAGAAGTGAAAGGTCTTTAAAAGGGTCCTTGCTATGTTCAGACCAGAAGCCGTCGACAGGGCCCGAGGCGGCGCACGGACCCCCAGCCGCCGGGTACCGGGGCGCGGGAGGAGCCGCAGCCAGGGAGGAGGTTTAGAAGCAGAGAGGAAGACGGGGTCGTCCTGACGTGGGCGAGGGTGAGGGCCTTTCAGAACCGGCTCTGCTCCGAAGGGCTGCTGGCGGCACAACGCCCACAGCGCGGGGCAGAGGGCGCCGTGGCCAGGGAGCGAGCCTCTCACGACACAGGAGAGAGCCTGTGCGCAGGACTCCGGAAGCAAAGGACTGGGGCGCCCCGCCGCCCCCGGGCCCACCTCCTCCACGCGCCGCCGCTCCTCCTTCTGCTCCTCGATGCGCCGCTGCCGCTGGTGCAGCAGGTGCTTGATGTGCGCCTCGGGGTCGCGCTGCTGCTGCTGCTGCTGCTGCTGCTGCTGCTTCAGCGCCTCCGAGTTGCTCTTGTTCTCCTGCTGGAGCCGCAGGAACTCCCGGCGCAGCGTGGACTCCCCGGGCACGTTCATGATGGAGCTGGCCAGGGTGCACACGGGACACTGAGCGCAGAACCCTGCCGGGGAGCCGCCTGGGGGCCCCCGCCTGAACCACACAACGGACCCCGCCGCAGCCCCACCTCTTGCTCACTTCCCTCCCTTCCCACTTCTCTGCAGCACTCAGGATGTGTTTCCAAGGGGCTCCCCCGCCCAGGGCCAAGCAGCACGGCTGTCCCCTCCCCCGGCCCCGGGTGCCAGCCCACCTTGGCTCTCCTTCCTCTCCGTGGCTGTCGTCTTCCTCCTCACTGCCGCTGTACTCGTACTCGGTCTCCTCTGCGGGGGGGATCACCACTGTCTCTGCACCCAGTGCCCCAGGCCCCACCCCGGGCTGGGGAAACCTTCGCTGGGGACAGCCAACAATTCTCTCTGATGCCCGAGCACGCAGGTCCCACCCGCCTCCCGGCAGCAACTGGGAGACCGTGGGTCTCGGGTGTGGGCCTGGGCAGCAGTGGCATGAGACCCCCTACCCCAGGGTCTGACACCTATGTGGGTGCGAGAGGCTGATGCCAGTCAGTGGGGAAGGAGGAGAAGCGCCCCTAACTGGAAATTTGGGGAACACGATCTCGTGGGATCCCGGGCCGGAGGAGGGGAGCGGGCGTCTCCCGAGACCCACCGCCGCCCGCCTGCCCACTGACCTTTCTCACCCCGCTTCTTCCGGGAACGGTCGATGTGGTCCTTGAGCTGGATGCGGACCTGCCGCTCTGTGGGCTGGTCACGGATGAAGGGAAACTTGAGTAGCTGCTCCGTGGGTGGGCGGCTCAGGTAAGTCTTGATGAGACAGGTGTCGATGAAATCGATGAACTTCTTCGACCTGGAAGCAGTCATGGCTCACTCAGAGCAGGAAGCTGGGTCATTCACCCCAAAGCCACCCTGACCTTCCCCGTCCGCTCCGTCCCGCGACAGGGCCCCTGCAGTGACCGGACGCCCAGCCCTGGGAGACCTACCACTTCTTGGACTTGAGCCGGGGCGGGGGGTTCCGAGGGATGAGGAAGAGGGCTCGCATGGGGTGCATGTCGCACAGAGCTGTGGCACAGCAGAGACGCCGTCAGCCTAGAGGACCCCTCCCTGCACGGCCTCCCTGAGCCCCCCAACCCCAGGCAGCCTCAGCACTTACGGGGGGCTCCCTCCGCCATCTCGATGGCTGTGATTCCTAGAGACCAGATGTCACTCTACAGAGGGCAGAGACAGCGACCGGTGAAGATCTTCAGCAACCCTGCCCAGGAGCCACCAGCCCTGCCCTCCCTGGGACCCCTTCCTGGTCCCCACTCTTGCCAAGGTGAGGCCAGCGCTACGGCATAGTAGGTTTAGCCTCCGCCTGTGGTGCTGGCGTCCCCTCTGGGCACCAGTTTGAGTCCAGACTGCTCCACTTCCGATCCAGCTCCCCGCTAATGACCGAGGTCCCTCCCCTCCAACTCATCCCATCTCCCTGCCCCTACTCCTTGCCACAGTTCCCCAGTCCCCATTGCTAATGTGTCGCTGACCTTGGCTTTCTTCCCTAGCCCACTCAAGCCCTGACACCTTCTATCCACCCGGCACCCCCACCTCACTTCCTGCCCTGGGCAGCCCCCACAAGCCCACTCCCTTCCATACCCTGTAATCGTAGGTGGCATCGGGGTTCTCATCACAGGCAATGACCTCTGGGGCCATCCAGTACGGGGTCCCAATGAAAGTGTTCCGCCTGCCCACGGTGCGATCCAGCTGAGCGCTCACCCCAAAATCCACTGTGACGTGTGGAGCAGGCGTCAGCACAGGGGCAGGTCCACACCTCACCTGAGGCAGCTGGGGTCTGGGTCCCACCCTGACATCCTCCCACCCCCCGACACCCTTCAGAACCTGACCCAACCTCCCTGCACCCTGGGGGTAAAGCAAAGCGAAAGGTCAAGGGCCACACCCTGGGCAGGGGTCAGTTGTCCCCCTTCCCCCAAGGGACCCTGGGCACTAGGCACATGGGCAGGTGAGAAGCTGCCTGAGGGGCTTTCAGCAGGAGGCACGGAGGGGGCCTAGGCAGAGCTGCCTCCGAGCACACAGGAGGTTGGACCTGGGCCCTATTCTCTGTCCTGGAGGGAACCTGCGCACCTAGCTTAACCTCAGCGTTCTCGGTCAGCAGCACGTTCTGCCCCTTGATGTCTCGATGAATCACCTTGTGTGCGTGGAGATGCGCCAGACCCTAGGACGGCAGGGGGCAGTCAGCCATGGGTCAGAGAGTCATGGGTCATGGCAGAAGGGTGTGGGGGGGGGGGAGGAAGGAGGAGGGGGAGCCATCAGTCTGCACAGGGCCGGGCTGAGGGAGCAGAAGCCCCTGCTGCCTCCCCTCCCCCCAGCCTCAAGCACAGGCTGAGCGGTCTTCTGGGAGCTTCTGGAGCAGTGGCTCTCACTGAGTGCCCAGAGGTCACAGGGGTGCAAGTGCAGGCAGAGCTTGGAGAGGGCGGGGCTCGTCTCCTCAGACAGCCTGAGCACTCCGGGCCTGGGGCCCAGGGCAGGGGAGGAGCGAGGGGCCGGGCGCACCCTGAGAATCTCCCGGCAGATGTAGGCGATGCAGTCCTCCTTCAGGGCGTTCCCCTTGGTGTTCTTCACCAGGTCAGTCACGGAGCCAGCACCACAGAACTCCATCACCAGCTGCGGGCACGGTGCGAGGGGGAAAGCAGTGGGGTCAGGCAAGGCCCACCCCCTGCCAGAGGCCTTGGGGGTAGCACTGGGCTCAGCTAGACAGTAGGGCCCCTGGACTCTCACAAAGAGCACAGACCTCTTGAGACTGGGAGCGACAGGGAAAGGGAAGACAGCTGGGGAGGAACCGGCAGGGCTGGGAGGCCCCGAGCCCCCGAGACCGTGCAGACGGCGAGGAAGGGTTCAACGATCGCAGCAGGTTCTCAGGGGGCCCCAAACTCCAAAGGGCTAAGAAGCACTGCTCTGCAGCAGAGGCCGCCAGCCCTGGCCGCCCAAGGACGACTTCTGTAGGAAGCCTTTACCCTTTTCAAGGGTCACGAGTGAAGTCAGAAGAATCCCACATCACGATACGTGAAAATCGTTTTGGCGACCACACAGGTCTGTGGGACACAGCCACGCTCCCCATGGGGCACCGTCTGCTGCTGCTTTCACAGTGCACAGCACAGCGATGTGTGCAGGGCAGCTGTGACGGCACAGCCACAGCCACAGCCACGAAGCCCACAGAATCCACCGCCCAGCCCCTGACTCAAAGGCAAGGAAGGCTAAGCAGGGGGATGTGCCACGCCCGTGCATGGGGTCTACCCAGGGAGCTGCAGGGGAACCTGAGAACACTTCCTGTCCGAGTAGTTTCATTAACAAACACATCCACAACAGAACGGTTGCACCAGTCACGCATTTTTGCACAAGCAATAAGAGTAATTGGCGGGGCTGGCATTGTGGTGTAGCGGGAAAAGCTGCAGCTTGCAGTGCCGGCATCCCATATTGGTGCCAGTTCCCATCCTGGCTGCTCCACTTCCAATCCAGCTCCCTGCTAATGTACCTAGGAAAGCAGTGGAAGATGGCCCAGTGCTTGGGCTCCTGCACCTATGTGGGAGACCTGGACGAAGTCCAGGCTCCTGGTTGACTCAGCCCAGCCCTGGTTGTTGCGGCCATCTGGGGAGTGTACCAGCAGATGCAAGATCTCTCTTTTGCTATCTCTTCCTTTTTGCCTTTCAATAACATAAACAAATCTTGAAAAAAATTTGCATGTGTGCCCTTTTGGGGCCCGCCCCTTGGATAGCAGGTGGCACAGTGACAGGAGGGAAGGACCACGCTAACACGTCCAGAAGAGGGCGCCTCGCTGCCCATCTCAGTGACCTCCCCTGCACACATCTGGCAGGTAAACCCACCAAGGCTCAGGGGCCTGGGAGGCCGGGACTGTGGCTCATGCTCATGTGTACAGGGCAGACAGCAGGTGCTTAGTAAGCACTTGTTGACCGGCTGACTGCTAGGAGGGGAGACCTGGCAGGACCGGCAAAGCTGCCCCAGTCCTTGCCCTGCTCCTGCTGCTCTCCCTAGGGGCTGGGCTCAGCACCCCAAAGCCTGAGGCTGACAGAATGCAGCACCCACGCCAGGGAGGGGAAGGACTCTGGAATGTTCTGGGCCACCAGGGATTTGGGGAGGCCCCAAAGAGTGATGGCAGGTTCTGGCTCAACCAGTCGCGAGGGGAGCTATGCACTACCAGGAGGGGTCTGAGCCCAAGGGCCTCCCACAAATATTCTGGGTCTGCTGCCTTCCCGGGAGCTGTGCTCCTAGGCAGCTGGACTGAAGACTGGCCTCCCTGTGGTCTCTTCCCACCACGACTTCCCTGCAGAGGGAGGGGAGAGCAGCACCCCTGCCCCCAGAGCACGGAGGACTAGGGCCTGCAGGGTGTGCAGAGGGCCCGGGAGTGGCAGCTCTGGGCGACTCATGACGTCCCTCTGACCCAGAGACAGGAGGGGCCAGGGCACCAAGGGAGGGCTGGCAAGAAGACGCCCTGGGCGTGGGCCCCCGAGTTCCATGACGGCAGCCTGGAGGCAGGGCCGTGGGGGGCGGGACAGGTGGGGGGCGTTTCTCACCCAGAGCTGGTCGTCGTTTCCAGGGGGGCTCTTCTTGATGAAGGCCCCATAGTAGGTGGCGATGTTGCGGTGGTGAGAGTATTTTTTCAGCATATTGATCTCCTGTTTGATCTCTTCCTCCTCGTCCTAGGCAAAGGAAGGTAGTAAGCCCTGAGACTCTCCCACACCCTCTGCTCAGTGCTCAGACCCTCCCTCTGCCTGGCACTGCTCCTACCTCCGTGACGTCCATGACCTTGATGGCAGCCAGCTGCCCGGTCTTGACATGCCGACCCTGTGGGACAGAGAGCCCGGCACGCAAGGATCAGGGTCTGTGCTCAGGGAGCAGGAGGGGGAGGGGCCTGACTCCAGGAGAGGCCACGTCCCTGGGCTGTCTTCTATCTCAGAGCATGCCCCTCGTGTGGCAAGGCTCCTCCGTCTGTGTGTTGGCCATCAAAGCAGACAGTGGAGACAGCTCCTGGGCCATCAGGGAACAGAAAATACCACCTCGACTGGACTCCCACGCTGCAAGCTCAATAAACGTAAAGGATCTCTTCTCATTGAAAACTGGAGAAGGGGCTGGCCTTGCAGTGCAGTGGGTTAAGCTGCCACCTGCAACTCTGGCATCCCACATGAGCACCAGTTCAAGTCCCAGCCGCTCCACTTCCATCCAGCTCCCTGCTGATGCTCCTGGGAAAGCAGTGGAAGACGGCCCAAGTCCTTGGGCCTCTGCACCCACATGGGAGACCTGGAAGAAGCTCCTGGCTCCCGGCTTTGGTTCAGCTCAGCTCTGGCCATTGCAACCATTTGGGGAGTGAACCTGCAGATGGAAGGCCTTTCTCTCTGTCTCTCCCTCTGTCTATAATTCTACCTCTCAAATAAATCAATAAAAATATTTAAAAAATAAAAAAAAAGATGGAGAGAGGAGATGAGTGAGAGGCTTATATTCCACACTCTGCTTTGGGCCTGCTCGCATCTGAAAGGAAAGGGAGTGGAAGACACTTCTCATCCTGATAGAGGCTGGGCGAGCTGGAGGGGAGGCAGGGAGGAGTGGGCTTTCCTGACCCACCACTGCAGACAGGAGGCCTCTCCTGGGATCACCCCCACTCCCCGGGCTGTCTGTCGTGGAGACAGAGCTGAGAATTTAGGGAACTTGGAAGACACAGAGGGGCCCGCTGATGCATGTCAACGCTGTCGCCAGACCTAACGGGAGGAAACTTGCCCTTCTTGAGTATGTCCCACCAGCCCCCGCCTCCCCCTCCAGCCTTCTGGAATTCCTGTAGAAGTCATCTAAGGCTTGGACAGGAAAGCCAAGGCTTCCTGAGGCGGACCGGGGTGAGGGAAGGCAGCCCCTTGTGGGTACGGACATGGGTGGTGCCAGCTCACAAATTAATGTCCTCAGCTGCCACTCAAGACTCAAGCGCAGGAGCACATGGAGCGATCTCCATGGCAACAAGTAGGCAAGAGACTGGGGAAGTGTGTAGGGAGGTGCCTGCTTCCCCCAAGCTTGCAGGGGCAGGAGGTAAGGGCAGGTGGTCCCAGTGGCAGAGGGGACACAGAGATGCGGGGGGTGGAGGGGCTGGAGGGCACCATGTTGGGACAAAGCAGCAGCACCATCTTGAATGGCCCCCATCCAAGTGTGAGCAGTGGTCGAGCCACGTGAGAGGGCCAGGCTGACGGCTACCCTCAGGGGCTGAGAAGAGGCCACTCTGCAGCCTCCGCAGCAGAAGGCTGGAGCTCCGTCTCCCTGTGCTGCAGGCCGCAGGAGGCAGCCGGGGAAAGCCACCGACCGCCCTCGGTGCAAGGCCGCCCACGAGGTCCACAACTCCAGCTCCTGGGTCTCTCCGCGGCCTTGGGAGAAGCCAAACTCACACCTTCAGCGCGAACCCCCGCCTCCGCATCCCAGGGCAGCTCTGCCACTGCCCCTGTGCCCTCGTGCTTCCTGTCCCACGCCCCACCCGGCTGCAGCCTGTTCCTGCCACACCCAGCATTAGTGGTAAACGCGGAGGAAGAGGCCAGCCAAAGCACCCCTTCTTGCTGCTCCTGCATCGGCTCCCCTCCCTCCGTCGTGTCCTCTCCTTCCTTTCCTGGGGCCCCCAGCCTGTCACCTCCCACAGCCCCCCTCGGATCTCCAGACCTGTAACCCACGCTTCCATCCTGGCAAGAGGGCCCTGAGGATGTGGAGGCCACACTTCTGCACCTTTAGATCTCACCTTGTACACCTGTCCGTAGGTTCCATTGCCGACCACTTCCACCAGCTCAAAGATCCCAGCAGGGTCCTGGAGGGGAGGGCAGCGGAGGAGAGAATAAAGGGTCAGGACGTCAGAAGAGGAAGCCGAGGCCGAGGCTGGAGGAGAGGGCAAGGTATGGGGTCGGGGTGGGAGAGTGACACCAGCTCTCCCCAGGGCGCTGGCAGGGGAGCCCTGCGGCCTGCCCTTCTCCTGGGCTGGCTCCCAGTGGGTGCTCTGTGGGGAAAGGGAGAAGGAGGTGAAAGAACATGGAAGTGAGGGGCCAGATGGCTTTGCAGACGTATTCCTGATGTCAAACCCAGCGACCAGCTCTGCAAGTCTGTCCTCATCCACCCGACGAGGGTGCCCGAGGCCCTGCCTCTGGGGCTGGCACAAATGCTAAGTGAAGTAATGTCCCTAACGCGCTGGCACGGAGCGTGTGCTCCAAGAAGTTAATCACCACTGTGGCTGCTCAGCAGAGACAAGCAGGAGCCATCGTCCTTCTGCTCTTCCCCCTTCCCAGTGCTCCTGCACTGCAGGAGGCCAGGCCAGGGTTTGAGGCATCCAGGGGCTGTGGGCGAGAACTTCAGGGACGGACGGGACCCAGGACGGAGGGAAAGGACCTCCGGGACAGGCAGATGGGCAGAGAGAACTTCCTGTTCCTATTCTTCTGAGCCAGGCTGTGCCAGGGGGAGAGGGGGCCCAAAGGGCTCGAGAGAGCCTCATCTTGCTGGGCCGAGTGCAGGCGCCTGGCCTCCAAGCAGCACGCGCACCCTCCGGGCAGGCCTGTTTCTTCTCTTTCTTGAGGGAGAGAGAGACAGAAAGCTGAGAGGTGCAGCTGCAAGCTGGAGATGGGTCCCCTCTCTCCACCTGTGGGACCCAGAGGGGAGGCAGAGGGTGAGGGTGGTGCTCAGGAATGAACCGTGCAGGCAACCCCCGGGCCCCGTGCTGATCATGTGGTAGGATCCAATACTCCTTTCTCGCTGATTTTGGAAGCCAGCATAGGATTTCTGAGGGGGGAGGAGGAGGAGGAGGAGGAGGAGGAGGAGCAGGGGGAGGGAGAGGGGGAGGGGGAGGGGGAGGGAGAACGAACTACCACCACCAGCAGCAGAAACCCACAAGAAAGCCCAATCCTCCTCCACCCGTTGAAGTGAGCCTACAGAACACGGCTGGGGCCTGGTGGAGTCTGGGGAGACACCTGCCCCACGCTGCTTAAGAACGTCCTCCCCAGGAGGAATGCGTGGGCAACGCGCCCCAGCTCCCTGCACCCGCCCCGTCACAGCATGCAGCACTGCGGTGCAAATCCCCTGGAGGAAGGGACCCAGTGTTCCTGCTCACTCAGTCTGTCCAGCACCCTGCATGGAGAATGCTCTTAACCCGCTTGCAGCCGCAGCTTGCAAGGACTGCCCTCCCTGCGCTCTGAGCAGCCTGGCTGACCAGACCAAGTAAGGGAGCCTATGTTCGATTATTTAGCTCCAGGCGAAGACACTGAAACAAACAAATTGGGGGCATCTGGTTGGGCTGTTAAGAAGCTGCTGAGGGGGCCAGAGTTGTGGTGCAATGGGTTATACCATAGCCTGTGACTCAATATCCCATGAGTGCCACTTCCAGTCCAGCTCCCTGCTAACGTGCCCGGGAAAGCAGGGAAAGATGGCTCAACTGCCTGCTCCCTGCCACCCACAAGGGAGCCCCAGATGGAGTTCCAGGCTCTTGGCTTTGGCCTGGTCCAGCTCAGGCCACTGCGGCCATTTGGGGACTAAAACAGTGGATGGAAGATCTCTCTCCATCTCTCTCCCTTTCTTTCTCTCCTTCTTTCTGACTCTGATGCTTCCTCTCTTTGAGTCTGTCTTCCCAATAAATAAAATAAATCTTAGAAAAGGTGCCGCTTAGGTCATCAGAGTGCCTGGGCTTGAGATCCAACTCCCGACTGCACCCTTCTTCCTAATGTGCACCCTAGGAAACACTGGGTTGACAGCTCAAGTGCTTGGGTCCTTGCCACCCATGTGGGAGACCCAGATGGAGTTCCTGGCTCCTGGCTTTGACTTGGCCTAGCCCTGGCTGTTGCAGGCATTTAAGATCTTCCAGTGGATGGAAGATCTCTGTGTTGTGTGTGTTTCTGTGTCACTCTGCCTTTCAAGTAAAATAAATAAAAAATCATTTTTAAAAAGGGTAAGTTTTCTTTGGTACAAAAAATTTTGAAATCCAGGGCCAGGTGTTGTGGTACAGCAGGTGGGGCTGCCACCTGTGATGTTTACATCCCACACTGGAGTACTGCTTCGAGTTCAATCCAGCTTCCTGCTAATGCAGACCTTGGGAGGCAACAGATGATGGCTCAAGTATTTGGGTTTCTGCCACCCTTGTGGGAAACTCGGAATGAGTTCCTGACTCCTGGCTTTGGCCTGGCCCAGGCCTGGCTTTTGTAGACATTTGGGGATTGAACCAACAGAGGGAAGATCTCTGTGTGTCACTCTGTCTTTCAAGTAGATGAAAAACAAACATCCATTAAAAAAAAAAAAGGCAAAAAGAACTGAGCTCTAGGGGCCAGCACTGTGGTACAAGTTAGGCTGCCACGTACAAAGCCAGCACCCCACTTTAGAACATCCATTTGTAGATGTTGTGCTTTGGATCCAGCTCCCTGTTAAAGCCCCTGGGAAGGTGGCACATGATAGTACAAGTGCTGGAGCCCCTGTCACCCATGTGGGAGACCCAGACGAAGTCCCTGGCTCCTGGATGCAGCATGGCCTAGCCTTTGCCACTGCATCCATTTATGGAGTAAAGTAGGGATAGAAGCTCTCTCTCCCCTCGGCCCCCCGCCCTGTTGCTCTGCCTTTCAAATAAATAAATCTTTAAAAAAAAAAAAAAGAGTACAAAGATGCTGCTTGCTTGGAGCCGCAGTGATGGGTGGTGGCTCTCCAGTGAGAACGGTGGCATCAGCTGTGTGTCCTGAGCAAGTGTCTAACTGTTGGGGGCCTTGCTTTTCCCCACAAACTGAGAGGGCACTGGATGGGGTAAAAAGTCTGCTTCACAGTTTCAGGGCACAAGAATTAGGTTCTACTTGGGGTCCCAGGTGGGGTCCCTGCAGGAGGTGATGTCTGAGCTGGGCTTTGGAGGCTGTTTCCAGTTGGTGACGAGAAGGGAAGAGTGGAGAACGCCACGCCACACCAAGGGACAGCAGCCAGGGTCTGGAATTCGAGTCTGCGATGTGAGGAGATGCATCTCACGTGAGAAGCACCTGTCTATCAGGCAGTTAGAAAGATGGCTCTGGAGCCAGTGCTATGGCAGAGTGGGTAAAGCTACCGCCTGCAGTGCTGGCATCCCATATGGGTGCCGGTTCAAGTCCCAGCTGCTCCACTTCTGATCCCGCTCTCTGCTGTGGCCTGGGAAAGCAGTGGAAGAGGGCCCAAGTTCTTGGACCTTTGCACCCATGTGGGAAACCCTGAAGAAGTTCCTGGCTCCTGACTTAAGCCTAGCCCAGCCCTGGCTGTTGTGGCCATTTGGGCAGTGAAACAGAGTATGGAAGACCTGTCTCTCTGTCTCTCCCTCTCTAACTCAATCTTTCAAATAAAATAAATCAAAAAATAAAATTAAAAAAAAAATAATTCCCCAAAACACAAACAAAAATCTGGAGACAAAGATTTAGAGGCCCTCAGGAACGAGAGCTGGAGACATGGACAAGTACCCGGGGAGAGTGCACAGGGACAACAGAAGAGCATGCTACAGAGCAGAAGGGGAGCAGACACCAGAGAGGGGCACGAGGTGACGGAGGATCCCAAGCGCTGCAGGCCACTCGGACAGCACGGGAACTGAGGCCTGAGCAGCCAGGGAACCACTGGGAACTGCGGCGCTGAGAGGAGAGGCAGATGCAGGGGCTGGAGGAGACAGGGAGTGATAAGGGGTGAAGGCCACAGGGACAGCACCCTCTCTGGACAAGTCCAGCTTTGAGAGGCAGGGGAGAAGTCAGATAACATCAAGAGGAGGGAGCAGGGTCAAAGGGCTTTCAAGGGGCCAGTGCTGTGGCACAGCGGCTTAAGCCACCTTCTGTAATACTGGCATCCCGCGTGGGCATGAGTTCCAGCCCCAGCTGCTCCACTTCCAATCCAGCTCTCTGCTAAGGCCTGGGAAAGCAGCGGAAGATGGCCCAGGTCCTTGGGCCCCTGCACCCATGTGGGAGACCCAGAAGCTCCTGGTTCCTCACTTGGTCTGACCCAGCCCCGGTTATTGTGGCCATTTGGGGAGTGAACCAGCAGATGAAAGACCCTTTCTCTCTGTCTCTCCCTCTAACTCTGCCTTTCAAATAAAAACACATCTTTAAAAAAATTGAGGGAGATTTTAAAACAGAAGGGCTCTCCAAAGCTCGTGGAAGGGAAGAGGCTTAAAGCGGAGGAATTAAATTTTTTATTTGTACATGTTTGTTTATATTTGAATGCAGAGACAGTGAGACCTCTCCTATCCATTGATCTAGTCCCCAGATGCCTGCACAGTCATAGATGGAGAAAGCCAAAGCCAGGAGCCAGGAACTGCGTCCAGGTCTCCCAGGTGGGTGGCAGGGATCCAGGTACTTCGGCCACCATCTGCTGCCTCCCAGGGTCTGTTTCAGCAAGAGGCTAAAGGCAAGGATGAGGCCGGGACCTGAAACCAGGCTCTCTGATATGGGATGTGGACACCTCAACCACTGTGCTAAGTGCCCACCCCAAGGAAATGATTTTTCAATAATGCACCTGTGGATGTGGTGTATGTCTGTATGTTTTAGTCCACAGCGTGTAAACTGCATGTTTCACTAGTTCACTACAGGGATGAAACACAACACCTAGAGATGCATAACACAGTTCAGATGTGACTCCTGCACTGGGGATACTGTGCCTACGTTCCTGGTCACCCTCTCTGAAGGTGACCCAGAAACGGTATTCCAGAGGGAGGTACTCTGCCCCTGGGAGCTGAGCTGAGCTGGCCCCAGCACAGCTTTGAGGAGGCTGCTAGGGGACTTCCCCAGCTCTCCCTCGTGATGCTCCATGTCCTGGCCGGCCTGCTGCCAAAGGGGCAGGGGATGCTAA